TTCGTTCATATTTTGATAAATACCGCACAAACAAGCATTTTGGGGAATTTTTTTACGATTCTTCTTTATTTGAAGAGAATTTTATATTATTATTATTATTGAATGTCTTTGTCGTGCACATAGTCGTATAAAAGAGTAAGCAATTAGCGCAAAGGCGAGGTACAGGCAGAGGCTGCTTTTCGACCTCCATCCACGATCTTTCTATACGTAGAGAATTTAAAAAAAGAAATCGAACGCTTCCCCTCGCACAGTGTCTTGTATTCGTAAATGTATGTCTCATTGAAAGTAAAAGTGCAAGTATTTTGATATAAACAACTCCCAGTTTGTAACCATTTTTCAATCGTTTATTTCATAGCAAACAATTAACCTATCCGTTAGGTGTACGTTCACTCTGAATTGAAGACTTCGTCTCGGTGTTAATCGTGCTTTCAATGACCCGTACATTGAGAAATCGTGCTTGCGCGCTGTTCAAGCGTAATTTTAGGGAACAAACAATTATTTTTTTACATGCGTTCAACCCAACCCGGCCGTTCGTCGGATATCGTATGTTACCTAAACGCAAACTCGAGGCCCGAGAACCTCGTTACAGGCCAAAGCGTTAATTTCGTCGCGTTAATCAGTTGCAATGCTAGAATCGTAATCGTCGCATAGCGTACTTCGCAAACCCTCCGTAACTATCACGCCTACTGTTTTCATTTACGTTTCACGATAGCGTCATCGAGACAGTTTAATGGATGTTCACGTAGAAACGAAAATAGGAACGAAGTCTATTTAATTAACTCGTTACAATTAGCACCTTGCGAACCGATCACGCGTTATATTCGATGTTCCATTCTTACGACGACGCTGTTCGATGTACTATACATATATCGTTTCTCCATTTCTGATCGATCGAGACACGAAGTTGCGTATTAGTACGCAAGGTGTCGTCTTTTCTTTGTAACCTATATGTCAACGTCGGTGCTCCGGGAGTAAAGTGTTTGTTAATCATTTTGCTAAACCAGCGATCGACGCGAGAACTGTATCAAACCAGCGAACCGATATAAGTCATCCGTATTCGAAACCGATGACAACACGTCCAATCGCAGTTTCTTTCCAGCGAGATCTGTATTCCGTTGTTGATTATGCCGACTCTACCTGACGTTTAATTAAAGCCTATTTCCGTGTTAACGATTTACCAGTGATTGTTGCCGATCTATGAAGTCCGAAGTCTAATTTATAAATGTGATAGAGAAGCGTACGGCCAGAGGCATAACCATTGCAGGAACAAATTATTCTTCTTTGAAATCATGAAGACTGTAGAACGAGATCCAACTCCCTAAGAAAGTTACTAGAAAACTGTTAGCAAAATCCCGAACTTGAAGTTATGAATATTTCGTCCACTCGCGGCGCAAGTGCGCACAGCTACGATATATATATATGTCGTGTGTGTATGTATTATCGTATATATGTATGATAATACACGTTTATCTGTTCTAGAAAAAAGAAATAAATGACCTCTGCTCGTACGCGACAAATAACGTATTAGCGAAAGTTACAAATGTGCATTATTTATTTCTCGATTGTATTTATATATAGATACCGTTAATTGTAGCAAGTCTTAATAATAGTTTACGGAAGCGTTATTATCTGGTGTTGAATAGCGATATAACCCTGTCGATGCTTCGAGCACGAATCCTGAATTCGTAACGAAAAAATTGCACGCGAGGTGTTTTTTTTTCTTAACTCGGTAATATATTGATTTCGATACATCGGCTGCTTGTTAGCTAATTGCTTTGGGGAGTGGTGATTTTGTGTGTAAAAATCATTGTTCCTGACGAGCGTGATCAAGTCGGCTCGATTTCGATCGTGTTACCGTAGTAATTAAAAACGTCGTAATTCCTCTCGGTTAACCTTTTCCTTAATTTCGTTCTTTTCTTTTTTCTTACGTCATGGGTGATAGCGAGTTTTTCAATTCGATGAACGGATAACGCAATCGAGGGTGTACATCGATTCATTATACCGTGGCTATGATTCGTTGCGCGAATATTGTGAATCCTAACGATCATGAAATGTATTTTTATTTATGCTTGCATAAGCTGCCACGCCGATTCTCTCGACTTTTGTTCCGTTTCGTTCGAAGATCATTCCTATTTGTATTTTTCGCGAGTGAAATCAGGGAAGTGGGACAAAACTGTAAAGAACACGTTCATTGACCGGCATTTAAATACACGCGATTTTAATGTATTAAAATATTTCCACGCGGTATTTTAATATATCGGTAGTTCCCGCGTGAGAGGAATTTGTTCGACGACACCCTGCGTATCGTGCCAATTTCAAAGTATTCGATGAGCTTGTAATAACGATTGGTACGAATGAACACTTTACGGTTGGTAAAGTGTCAGAGACAGTTATCGCCGGATGGATTCCTCTCGCACAGGTATTATCGTACGTTGAGGGGATGTCCGTGACGTGTGTCTGTGAATAAAGAAATATTATAAACACGTGCAAGAGAACGAAAGTGAATTCGTTCACGCGTGCGTGTGCGTGTACGTGTGTGGATGTTTCGTTGATGGAGTTGATCGAGTCGTTGATTTCGTGCAAATGGTTGGAAAATACATTACCAACGCTTTGTATCAAAAACGCTTTCGGTGTTCTATGGAAAACAGTGAGTCCTACACGAGGCTAGTATATTAAGCAAGCACTTTGCGCTCGGTGTTTCTTTCGATGTATGTTAAGTGACGGATCGAATTATTGAAATATAAGAAATAATTCTCAAACGACCGCTCGGGTATTTGTTTACTTTGAGATAACTTCCGAAAGCTAATAACTTCTTGTTTCTGTATTTATTCTATAACATTGTGACAAATTACTTTTAGGACTCACTGTACGTTCCTTATTCACCAAGATAACCTCTAATGCGGACGAGTATTTCGCACAGAAGTGCAGTACAGTTAACCCTTTACACTCCGAGCATGTTTACGCCTGTAGGTAATCAACTCCAGGTACTTTCGAGTAATTCACTTACAAGGGAATTCGCTATTCGTTTTATTACGCATTCAAATGCATATAAAATGGCCATACGAACGTGTCCCAGTGAAATAGAACAAGTTTTCAATCGCCAAAGAACTAACGATTAAGAACGAGACTGTAGTAACGCGTGAACATTGTCAAATAAAACAATTTACGTTCGACCATGGTCAACCTATCCATTTACTTTATTTTCTATTCTCTTGTTCGTTATACGTGTTCGTTTATTTATATCTTTAGATTCTGTGTACGCGCGCGCGCGAGCGATTGCCTCTGTCTTTGCTATGTCTATCGTAATTAGAAATCAAAGACATTGAGTTAGATAGGTTGAAATATACATTTAATGAGAAAATATTAACGAGAAGACCTTATCGCTGCAAATACACGGGGCAATCGTAATCCCAAAGAAATACTGTTACTTGTCCGATTAATTGTGTACAAAAACGTGAATAAAAGAGAAGCATACATACACATAAAAGCTGTTACAAAATCTATAATCCTTATTATTCTTAGCCCCTCACTGGAACAGTGTAGTATCCTAACCTCCAGCAAGTAAGTATAAAATGATACTTGCTTGAGGTTTTATATTTTTCCATGTTAGGAGTACTGCAACATTACTCCAGCGCCTACGGGCAGGCAACCGGACCGGCAAGACTGCTAACATGGGTTGCCCCATACCAGGGGCATTCCCGCGCCCTGCGAGCAGGCAACCGACCCGACATATCTGTAAGTATAGGTTGAATAAACCCTTTAATTCCCCTCCATTTCCTGGCACACTTCCCTTTAAATTCTCTTCATTTCCTTACACATTTCCCTTTAGTTTCCATTCATTTCCTGGTATATTTCCCTTTAATTTCCTTCCATTACCTTACACAGTTCCCTTTAATATTCCTCCATTTCCTGGAATATTTCCCATTAATTTCCCTTCATATCCTTACACATTTCCCGTTAATTTCCCTCCATTACCTTACACATTTTCCTTTAATATTCTTCTATTTCCTGGTATTTTTCCCTTTAGTTTCCCTCCACTTCCTGGTGTAATTCCCTATAATTTTCCCTCATTTTGTGTAATATTTCGCTATAATTTCGCCTCATACTGTAATATTTCGTGGTTTAACAATGTTGCAATGGCTCCGCTCAAAACTTCAACAAAGTTGCAAGTTCAACAATATTGCAAATCGCTCCCGCGGAATTCAACAATATTGCAAGTTCAACAAAGTCGAAAACGCTCCTTTCGAAACTCAACAATGTTGCAAACCGCTTCTCTCAAAACTTCAACAAAGTTGCAAATCGCTCCTTTCGAAACTCAACAATGTTGCAAACTCAACA